TCAGCTTTCCTGCTCCTCTGATGTTGCTGGGCCTGCTGTGTTCATCCAGCTCTACACATTGTTATCTCAGATTCTCCAGCATCTGTGGTTCCTACTATCTCTGACATGAGGAAGATGTTTCCCTCAGTGACTTGCTGTGATCTGAAACATTCTGCAGGGAAGGGTCATGGGAGCAGATTCAACAGGAACTTTCCAAAGAGAATTGGAGATTTTTGACAATGATAAAAATTACAGCGCTGCAGAAGATGTGGTTGGAATGGATTCAATTGGATGGATCTCTCTCGGGGGCAGTGGGCTGAATGGCCTGTTCTTGCGCTGAGAGGTTCTGAACCTCCAGAGTAGGGCTGGATTGTCAGGTTTGGTATGGTAGGTAACACCAGAATTTAAACTCACTCAGGCGACAGAGCATTGCCTGACATCATGATCCCGATTAATAAGCCCCTACACATACACGCACGCACACACACACTTCCACAGAGTGTTGACTTTGTTCAAACTCAACCTCTCTAACAATACTTTGCTCTCTCAGTCACTAACCACATTGTCAGTAAATACAGCACCAATCCCAACAATCATCACATCAGAATCCACTGACCCGCCGATCATGTTCACTACACCCTGTGTTACTGGCTGTCTCTATACTGGCGTTAGCCCAGCTCCTTCTCACTGTTACTCAGTAACCTCTCTCATTCCAGAGCCCTCTATTACTGACTGTGTGTATCTTTGCTGATTGTTAATCCAGCTGTATCACACTGTATCCCTTTATCTCCCTCTCCCCCTGTATCCCCCCCATATCTCCTCTCATATCCCTCCTCCATGTGTATCCCTCTCGCTTGCTATATTGCCCCCATATCCCTCCCTCTCTCTCCCTGGTATCCCCTGTCCCTATCTGCTCCTCCTATCCGCGCTCTCCTCTCCAGTGTAGCGGAAGCTTGTGGTCTTTGGGGTTGTGTTCCTTCTTGGGAGAGGCAGGTTGCCCTGCGTTGAGTATAAAGGTTCCTGTATGAAATCCAAGGACACCATCTCATTGATGTGTATGAATCTTTATTTAAATAAATGCTTTGTCATTACCATAAGACAAAGGTGGAGTAGTAGATAAATTACAAATTGAATAAATAGCATACAGTGTTCACCAGAAATGTTACAAATATATTTCGTACAAAACTTTAACCAGAATATTTGATAAACGTCTTGTTTTATTGGACATAAAAGAAGGTTTCTCCTCGAGTTGCAACATTGTTAGGTTTAGGGGTTTCACAGGTTCTGACAACTTGGCGAGGGGGGCTGAGAGGTTATACAGTGAGGCGCTGTTTGGGGGTGGCGACACTGCAGATTGGCCTGAGATCCTGTGTTAACGTCTCACTCTTCCCCACGCCCCCCCCCAACCCCAGCATAACTGGGTCAAAGTAAGTTTCCCCCACTCCCATCCTGTGCCCCTCAAGAATCCTGCATGCACCCTGAGCCACTCACACATCTCCAACTCCTTGCACCGATCGCTAAATCATCATCCGACTTCCTGAAAATCCTCTCCAAAAACCTCACCCTGCCTTCGATATCCCTCTGTAAACCATTCACCAGCAATGGAAACATTCAGCCCCTCTCTGGAGAGGATAGCCCTGTGCTCGTTCACAGCTCAGTCAATAGCCTGTGCAGAGAGGACACCGTGTACCTTGGAAGACCCACAGGGTGTGGGGGGCACTGGGATATCATCCTCTCGGGGCAGTCACTGGATACTCCCTCCCCAGGGGGCACCGACAGAGTGTCCATGGACCTGCTGGAGGTGGCAGTGGTCAGCTATTTGTAAACTAATTATCAGGAAGTGGGTGCTGGTTCCTGGAGAAAGTGCTCTGCTTCCTGAAGCACCAATTGGCATCACTGCCCCCACAGAGTGGCACCTCGGCTTACAGTCAGCCACATCACTGCAGGTGTGGAGTCACATGTAGGCCAAACAGGTGAGGACAGCAGTTTCCTTCCCTGAAGGACATTAGTGATGCACATGGCTCTTTATGGATAATGGTGACATGGTTTTCAGTTTTCAGTTTAATTCATCACAATGCCATTACCACTACAGCAGTAACCCCACACGGCCTGGTCCTGGCAGAGATTTGAACACACCTTCTGTGGATGACTGGCCCAGTAGTGGGTGGAGTTCCTGTAAACCAGTTCTCCCCGGGTTGCTCTCCAGGAACATTGACCTTACCCCAGCCAACAGTGGTTTCTGTTGTTGAAGGGATTGTAGTTCCAAATGTCCTAAAAACCAATATCAGAGACACTAACCATGGTCTCCTCCTCATAGAATTCCTACAGTGTGGAAACAGGCCCTTTGGCCCAACAAATCCACACCAACACTCAGAGCATCCCACATAACCCATCTAATCTACACATCCCTGAACACTATGGGCAATTTAGCATGGCCAATCCACCCTAACCTGCACATCTTTGGACTGTGGGAGGAAACCCACGCAGACACGGGGAGAACATGCAAACTCCACACAGACAGTCACCTGAGGGTGGAATCGAACCTGGGGCCCTGGTGCTGTGAGGCAGCAGTGCTGACCACTGTGCCACCCCAGCAGACCCCCACAGGCACAATAAGAATTGCCTTAACCAGCAAGTCAGAGTATAAGCAACAGGAGCAGGAATAGACTATTTAGCCCTTCAATGCTGCTCCACCATTCAATATGATCGTGGCTGATATTGAATTCAACTCCCACTACCTCCCCTCACCCCCGCCACCTTCTGCCTCCCCCAATTCCCCGAGAGAACAAAGCTTTGTCTGTCCCAGCCTTCCAAACATTCAACAATGCAGCCTCTATTACCCTCGGAGGTGGAGAATTGCAAAGGTTCGCTAACTTCTGAGTGAAGATATTTCTCCTCATCTCAGCCCCCAAGGCTTTGCCTGGTCTCTCATTCCCTTAACACCCCCGCTCTTGATTTCTATCCTAGCCAGGGCTGAGAGGCAACTATCTGTCAGTGTCTGAGAGACGCTTTTCCAAAGGGAGCACAGCGCTGGGGGGTAACTCAGTTTTTGCATTTTCCCGAATCCAATGAATTGATTGAGGACTGGACAGTCCCAACAGGGAGCTCGAGGTGAAGACATTCAACGCAAAACATTAATGGTCTGAGTGTCTGGGAGAAACCATGTACAAAGCTCAGCAAACAGTGTAACAAGAAATTCAAACACAGAAAATAATATTCATTCAGCATTTGCCATCTTAAATTCCACACAAAGTCCGTAAGGAAGGAGACCTCTCTTTACGGGTTGTGTTTCGTGAGATCTTCCCACAATTTCCCACCCCCCCCCCCCACCCTCCCAGGTGTATTTCACTTGTACATTGCCCCCATATTGATTAATGCAGCTCCGCCTCAGCTAAAGGCTTCTTAACACTTTATCGCCCTTTTGACATTTTTTCTCTCTGTCCACACAATTGATTCCACATTCCTCCCCTCCTATCCACCCCCACACCACCCAGACCTCCACCCTCCCAACCCCCGGGTGACTGAATCCACCAGCCAGAGTTCCAAAAGAACATTCCTGAATTGGGAATGTTGAAATGGGAACTCAGTCTAACAGGCCCAGGCCTGACTACCTGTTCCCCAACTTTGGGGGGCGGGGGGGGGGGGGGGGGGCGCAAAGAAAAGCAGGCGTGGTGCTCTTGCCTCAGTCACAGTCTGGTGGGTCTGTTGGGGATGCTGGGTAGGGAGGGGAAGAAGATTGTTAGACTGGGTTGTGATGCCAGACAAAGTCAAATAGCTCAAAGATACTGAAAGGACTGGGAGGCATCTGGAGCCCACAGGGCAGAAGGTAAAAGCAAGAAAACCACCCCCACTCCCACCCCCAGCTACACTGCACCCCCCCACCAACTCCCACTCCTTCAAGGCCAAGGGACCTGACGTCTGAAGTAAGTGAACAACATGCTGGGGTGGGAGGAGTATCAGAATGTTCTGGGTTGTGGACGGGTACTGGAGCTGATAACACCAGCCATTGTGTCAGCTTCTCTGCCTGGGGTAGGGAGAGGGGGGAGCTAAAGTGATTGCAAACAGTAAATAATGGCTTGGGAGCCCTAATCCAACGGGTGCCACTTGGTGGATGAGCAGGTGGAGAACCTGACGGTGCAGTACATGCCTTCAGTCACCAGGGGGCATCCCTATGGGTTATTGCCCCCTATTGGTGGCAATCAGGTACTGCAGCATGGTGCAGAATGAGGGATCACTGTGCCTTGGCACTGGGCTCTAGCTGTTGTTGTGATGTCCAGTGGGAGGTCAGTATCTCTGAACTAACAAATTCACCCATTCACCAGCTCCTCTACCCCACCCCCACCAACCCCTCTCCCCCCTCCAATCCCTCTCCCCCTCCCAACCCCTCTCACCCTAGAATAATTTGCTGATCCCAGCATGCTCAGTCCAAGCCTGCCCCTCAAATGTGGGATCCCCACATGTTAATGTGTCAGGATCTGTGGACTCCTAGGTTAGCTTATCATGTCATCCATCTTTCTTTTACAAAGGGCATCAAACACCACTTGGCCCTTTATCCTGGCCCAAGCAGGCTCCCCGCATCACCCCCCCGCCCCCCCCCCCCCCCCCCCCCCCCCCCCCCCCCCCCCCCCCCCCCCCAGCTACCCCTCAATGCATCCCATCTCCCTTTCACCCTGCTCCAGCTCCCTCGGATCCCCTCATCGCCATCCCAGCTTTCCCCCACCTCCCCCCCTGCCCAAAGACCCCCTCATCCCTACCCTGCCCCCAGCTCCTGCAGGCCATCAGATGAAAGTAAGGAGGAGGTCACTCTAGATAATGGATGTCCCCAGTCCCTCATCCAATCCAGATCTCTGCAGCTCAATAGGATGGATGTGTTGGATTGTAGCATCTTGTGAAAAATCGGGATGAAGGTCCAGGAGCTTTCTTTAAGTGCATTTCTTGGATGGGTGAAGATCTCCTTAAATCGTGATAAAAAAGGGCACGTGGTTTAAAAACACGACACAAGTGCCCCATCCTCCAGCATTTTCTTTCCAAAACCAATCAGAATCGAAACGTGTTTCTTTGGTAGAGATTGAAAAGCCAAAAAACAGAAGCTCACGCAGGTTCAACCAATCCGATGCCCCGAAAAATCATAACATACAATTTTTGTTTAAATTATTATACTTTGATGCACTCACTGCCAAAAAGTTTACAGTCTGTAGTCAGCCAACCAGCTGGCGAGTAGATGCTCAGTTGGTTAGAGAGGAGCCAGACGTGGTGCTGCGGGTTTTAAAAAAACACAACGACATCAGTCGCTCTCAAAGCTGTGACACTGAAAGTCACTGTGCTTGAAATCAGAGCCAGGTAACTTCAATCCATACTTATTCACACACCAGCATAGGCCCCGCCGTTTCCCCTTCGAGGGCTTGCACTGTCGAGAGGAAAGAAAAACCCAAGTCAATTTAGAATCCAACCGGGTTATTAAGCAACTCCGACAGAATGAAAGTGTCACTGACTGGACCAGCATTTATTGCCCATCCCTAAATACCTGGGGGGGGGGGAGTTAAGAAGCAACCCCATTGCTGTGGGTCTGGAGTCATGTGTAGGCCAGACCAGGTAAGTTTGGCAGTTTCCTTCCCTAAAGGACATTAGTGATCCAGATGGGTTTTTCCAACAATTGATTCATGGTCATCATTAGAGTCTTAATTCCAGATTTTTATTGAATTCAAATTTATCTATCTGCCGTACGGGATTTGAACCCACGATTCCAGACAGGCATTTTCCTTCCCCAAAGGGCATCAGCGAACCAGGTGGGTTTTTCCAATAATGGTTTCATGGTCATTAGACTCTTAATTACAGATTTTAATGATTTCAAATTCCACCAGCTGCCCATGGTGTGATTTCAACCCAGGTCCCCAGAACATTACCAAGGTCCCTGATTAACAGTCCAGTGATAATACCACTAGGCCATCACCTCCCCAGTGTGACAGGGGCTCCTTAAATCGAAGCTTTCAAAAGGGAGTGGATTGCTATCAGAAAAGGATGATTGTCCCATGGAATTCACTATCACAGAAGGCAATTGATGCTGAAACATTGATTATACTCAAAAAGGAATTAGATACAGATCTTAGAGGTAGAGGGATCAGAGAGTATGGAGAGAAAACAGGAACAGGGACTGAGTTGGATGAACAGTCAAGATCATATTGAATGGTGGAGCAGTCTCAATAGACCAAGTGGCCTACTTCTGCTGCTCTGTGTCTATGGAGGGTTACTGGGGAAGATAGGAGAATGGCACTGATTGAATTGAATTGGAGGGCTGGCACAGGCACAACGTGCCAAATGGCCTCCTTCCGCACAAACACCATGGACACTCAGTGCCAGCAGAGTATCATAAATATAGAAATTCACCAAAGATCCTCAGACAGCACCTTCCAAACCCACGACCACTTCCATCTAGAAGGACAAGGGCAGCAGATATATGGGAACACCACCCCCCGCAAGTTCCCCTCCGAGTCACTCACCATCCTGACTTGGGAAATATATCGCCGTTCCTTCAGTGTCGCTGGGTCAAAATCCTGGAATTCCCTCCCTAAGGATATTGTGGGTCAACCCACCGCACATGGACTGCAGCGGTTCAAGAAGGCAGCTCACCCCCACCTTCTCAAGGGGCAACTAGGGATGGGCAATAAATGCTGGGCCCAGTCAGCCTCATGATTTTGCCCCTTCAGCCTGTAACACCAGAACGGTAGGAAGCCATTCAGCCCCCTACTTGAGCCTGTTACGCAGGAACAGGAAGGAGGCCACTCTGCCTTTCGAGCCTGCTGTGCATGGACTGTTTGAAGTGTGAGGAAGGGCAGTGATGTATTTCCCAGACAGGTTGGTCGAATGGGCAGACAAGCAACAGATAAAGTTTAATGCAGAGGAGTGAGAGGTAAATCATTTCGACTGGACGAATAAGGAGACACTGTTGAAAAGGAAATAGTTACAATCTAATGGGGGTGGGGTAGTGGTGTGTGTGGGAGCAGAGGGACCTGGCATACGTGTGCACAAATTTTCGAAGGTGGTAGGATGGGTGGGGTATCGGGTGAAACGACCATTCACAATGCAGGGATTTCTAAACATATACACAATGTACAAGGGCAAGAAAATGATCATTCATTTCTACAGCACACTTATTAAACCTCAGCTGGGGTATTGTGTATAGCTGTAGGCATCACATTACAGGAAAGATGTTAATGTATTGGAGAGAGTGCAGAAGTGATTTACCAGAATGGTTCCATAAGATATAGGAGCAGAATGAGGCCATTCAGCCCATTGAGACTGCTCTGCCATTCAATCATGGCTGATATGTTTCTCAACCCCATTCTCCTGCCTTCTCCCCGTAACCCTTGATCCCCTTACTAATCAAGACCCTATCTATCTCCGTCTTAAATACACTCAATGACGTGGCTTCCACAGCCCTTTGTGAAAATGAGTTCCATAGATTCACCACCCTCTGGCTGAAGAAATTGTTTATAAAATCATGGGGGGCATAGATAGGGTGAATAGCCAAGGTCTTTTCCCCAGGGTAGGGGAGTCCAAAACTAGAGGGGCATAGGCTTAAGGTGAGAGGGGAAAGATTTAAAAGGGACCCGAGGGGCAACTTTTTCACACAGAGGGTGTTGCGTCTGCAGCTGCCAGAGGAAGTGGTGGAGGCAAAGGGACAGCGTTAGCAGGTCTAGCAAGCTCCAGCAATACACACATACCTGTTTCCTTTTGTACAGGCCTTTACGGTCACAGTTCGGAATATAAACCTCATGTGGACTCAGGTAGGCAGCTTTCTTCAGATTTTGCAGCACCACTTCCATTTGTCGGCGGCATGGACCCTATAGGTCAAAGCAACCGATCAGTTACATCTCCACAAGGGAACAAGAAAGCACTGTCTACAGATTCCATTGGCCATTTGCAGGCCATCTGTAACCAGGGCAGCGTTTCTGAACTTCCAGCTGCCCCCCCGTTTCATCTCTCCCCATCACCCCATGCTCTCGATACTTCTCCGTGTTTAATCCAATGAATGGATGGTAGTCACTGTTTTTAACTCATTCACAGGATTTTGGCTAGGCCAGCATTAATTGCCCAATCCGCGTTGCCCTGGAATGTGGTAGCCAGATCCACATCACTATTCCATTCTCAGTGAAAACATTTCTCTGAAATTCCTGCTCAGATTTATACATAGTGCTTTGGTTTCTCCACAAGAGAAGGAACCTTGACAGCAAAGATGAGCTGGTCAGGTGGGCAGGCCTATGGCAGGTGAGGTTTAATGCAGAGAATCACAATTCTTATTGCTAGGAAGAATGAGGAACAGCAATATCCAATAAAACAGGCAACGGAAAATAGCAGAGATAGTAGGAACTGCAGATGCTGGAGAATCTGAGATAACAAGATGTAGAGCTGGATGAACACAGCAGGCCAAGCAGCATCAGAGGAGCAGGAAGGCTGATGTTTCGGGCCTGGACCCTTCTTCAGAAAAGAAGAGAAAGGATGAGAAAGGATAGTCAATTTAGCTCAGTTTGAATTTCCAAATGCACCAACATTGGCTTGGACGCCATCTTCAGTCAAACAGGTGACAGGAAGTGACATCAGTAAGACTGTTAAGAAACCAATCAGGACTGCAATGGACTGAGCAGAGTTCAGCAACACCACATATCATTCACAGAGGTCAAGGCCAGCAGGAACCAGTGATTGTAACGAGTTGGACCCTCATAGAATATGAGTTACCTGATTGGGGCTGTTGGTCTGGTCCAATCAGGGAGCCCTGTCTGACATAAAAGAGTGAATGGCAGGGCTATTGGGCCACTGAATGCCTCACTCAGTGAGAGGCAGTGCTATTGTCAAAGTCTATGCATTTATAAAATAAGGGTGATTGGTGATGGGATGCCAGCCTGTGAAGAGTTAGTTCACATGAAAGCTGCTAGCAGAAGGAAAGATATTGAATTGAATTGAATTAGTTTTATTATCCTGTGCACACGAGTGAATGCAGTGAAATGTTTGCAATGTCGTCGCTTATGGAGCCATCTTACAGACAAGATACCTCGGGACAGAAGCTTAAGTATATGGTACAAAATTGAAAGAATGATAAATAAACGTCCAGCATTAGAATAAAAAGAAGAAAAAATGAATTCAATTTACTTTCCTTTCACCCCAGCCCGTGCTAGCACCCATCCTCCAGGTTCCACCGGGCTAAGTCTCCAGGCCACGCCATGCTTCAAAATTCGAGGCCTTGCCTCCAGTACACAACAGACTCCCCTCCCCATGACAGACTCTGGTCCGGGAATCCCCTCCCTGCACAATCCTCTGGTCCGGGACTCCCCTCCCAGCACAATCCTCCGGTCTGGGACTCCACTTCCCGCGCTGGCCTCCAATCAGGGACTCCCCTCCCCGTGCCGGTCTCCGGTCTGGGCCTCCCCTCCCTGCGCTGGTCTCCGGTTTGGGACTCCCCTCCCCACGACAGACTCCAGTCTGGGACTCCCCTCCCCGTGCCGGTCTCCGGTCCGGGACTCCCCTCCCCGCGCCGGTCTCCGGTCCGGGACTCCCCTCCCCGCGCTATCCTCCGGTCTGGGACTCCCCTCCCCGTGCCGGTCTCCAATCCAGGACTCCCCTCCCCACGTCGGTCTCCGGTCCGGGACTCCCCTTCCCACAC